ATTCTGCAAATCTTTGAGTTTGTATTTTATATTCTAGATTTGGTAAAGAGTCAGAGGGCCTTTGATCAGGACATATTATAATCGTAGCTATGCCTCAGGGTAGTTGTTTTGGCAGCTACACGAAGGATGAATTAGTGAGAAGCAGCCAGAAGCAGGAATATCAACTGGGAAATGATGACCTAGGCAAGAAGGGACAAGGGCCTGAACTAGGGCAGGAGCCACGGGAGTGGAAAGAAGGAGGTAAATCCAAGAGATAGTGTATGATTTAGCAACTTATTTAGAAAGATGGAGTTAGTGAAATAGGAAAAGGAAAGAGTTAGGGATGGCTATGAAGCTACAAATCTGGATAACTGAGAGGATGGGGGTGCCCACCATTGTTTCATGGATTTGAAACACTCAACTGATATTTTAAAATCATCAAGAAAAATGGGAAAGATGAAAACAATTGTCTTTCTTTATAGGATGCATAACAAGATTTACCATGGGAAACTGTCAAGTTACATGATTAACAGGGGTATTAGCAGAAACAAGTAATAGGGAAATTAACTTCTTATGCCTAACTCAAATTCAGTCTGTCTCATGAGATGAGGTTAGCAACTAAGCTGTTGGACAAACTATTCCTTCATTTTCTTACTATTCCCAATAACTACATTACTCAGAAAGCTACTCCTTGGTTAACCCTCAGCACTGCTGCCCGCTGGCACCAATTCTTCCAGACAAGTAACGTTTCCATTAAAAAAACATGACACTAGTGTTGCCCCGTTAGCTATGGTTACCAATGATAATAAAACAGAAATGTTCACGTTACCTGCCTGTCAGATATCCCACGGCAGAGGCAGCATAAGAAGCCTAAAAGAACAACAAAGGTACTCAAACATCCTGGAACCAACTTAGAGCCATCGGAACCGCAATGCTGACACATTTAGCTTGAAGAAGTACACATCAGAAGGCCATTTCCACTGTTCCCCGTGTTATGATATCAGCCTTAGCAGTGAGCCTGGCACACAGTAGGTGTTTATTCAATGTTGACTGATTGGCTGCTATTTATTGTGAACTGAACTCATTTAAGCATTTTCTGCCTGTTTTTCAGCATTATAAGGCTGAAGTGCAGTTAAATAATTTTTTGAATACAGCATAAAAGTAGAATATTTAAATTTAAATTATGGACAAAAGGTTTCCTTGTCAATTAATTTCAATCTAATTTCTATTAGGAAACAACTTTTGGTCTAACTAAATCCTGCTTATCTGGAACAGGTTTGCTTTGTAATCTGTGATTACAAAGAAGGCCATTTCTTCAGTCCTGTTTGTTCTCATTTATTTTCAGGGAAAACCAGCCAAGTAAGCTTTTGTCATCCTCTTACTGCCTATGATAATTTCAACACATGGTAAATGTGCTGCCATTCCAGAAAAAAAAACAATAGAATAAGCTAAACTAAGGAAACAAGGCCGTGCAAACAATATTAAAGCTAACATGCTAAATAAATAGGCATGAACCCTCATCTTCATCAGTGTTTCAAGTGGAGGCCAAACCTGACTTCTCTAAAAGTTTTTCCTACCTTCTTTGTGTCTTTAACAATCCCTCTGAACATTTAAAAATGTTTCTGATGGGCAAGTCTTCTAACCTTTCTCAGCCTATCATGCCACATTATAACCACCCACACTCAGAGAAGTAGCAGGTTTTGGTGGGAAGCGCGTGAGACCTAGGTTCAGGAGAGACTTCAGCTCCAGCTTAATGGCTGAACGACGCCGGGCACCTTGGGGCTCCGTTGGCTCAACTGCTTATCCTAACTACGTGATTAACTAGCAAGGTTAAATGATCTGTCTTTGGTCATACAGACAGTAACAGGGATCCCTGCTTTGTGGCCTCTTCCACACCAGCTGCTCACTCTGGGTCTCCTACTTCCCCACTGGACCATGGGTTCTAGAGGTGACTACTTACCTGTCCTACTCTGGCCCCCACTTTCCAACTCTGGCTCTTTATGTGCTGTCTTCCCCATGAGAATGAGGGATGGAGAGAATGCCAGGCCTGGAGTTAGGAAGACTCATCTGCATGGGTTCAAATGTAGCCTCAGATACTTCCTACCTGCGTGACCCTGGAGAAGTCCCTTAACCCTGTTTGCCTCAGTTTCCTCATATGTAAAATGAATTGGAGAAGGAAATGGCAAAGCATTCCAGTATCTTTGCCAAGAAAACCCCAACTGGGGTCACAAAGAGCTGGACACGATTGAAATGACCCCATTAGAACATATGTTCCTTGAGGGCAGTGACTGTCTCATTTTTTGTATTGGTCTCCCTAGTCCTGAGCATAGTACCTAGCACCCAGTAAGGACTTAGAAATGCTTTTACATGTATTCAGTCACAATGACAGTACTTAACTTTTCACAGGGTTGTTATGAGGATCAAACAGATAATATATGTGAAGTGCTTTGCACATCTTAAAAATATACATAAACATCAGCTCTTACTATACACTGGAACTGGCCAATAAGGGGAGGACAAAACCAGGGAAAACAGAGTAAAATCATGGCATCCTGGGAACTGTGCTGCTTTAGGGTTAGGAGGCCTCAGTCAGAGTCCCAGGACTGACACACTTAGATTTACTGCAAGAAAATCAATTCCACTTTCAGAGTCAGTTCTCTCATCTGTCAAACAGGAACGATAAGACTTGTACTATGTCCTGCTCAGAGCTGCACTTTCTGAAGAAAACATGTCTATGTCATATTTTTAGCAGATCTGTGATTTCTTGGGGGAGGCAGTTAGCAGAGAGGACTGTACTTTACCAAGGAAGATTGGCCACCTCCTTGTGAGATGTCTGCTTTCAGTACCGAGAGGTTAACTTGCCCTGGACCACACGGCATGCAGGCATCATATGGCCTGGATCCAGATCTCCCTAACTGCCTCCAAGGCCATTTCCTTATTTACTAGACTACATTTCCTCTTCTATAAATAAAGGTAAATTATTATTACTGTTGGAACATAATACATAATAGTAAATTTCTGGTGGAAAAAGGCAAAAAATTGATTATGAACTAGCTTAACGATCATATAAAGATACCTCATTTATTCAAAAAATAAGTGTCCCTTACAGCTTTCAGATTTATGCATGGGGTCACATGCTTAGAATTAGAAGGACCTAAAAAACATCTAGTACGACTTCATTTTACAGGGAGGAAACCGAGTCTAGAGAGGCTAAAAGGTAGGAAGGGGCAGAGCTTGGATCTGAATTCTTTCCACTGAACTGTCCTTCAAAGGAAACCTACCTTCAGTGAAATTCCCAGACATCTGATGGCTACTAGGAGCACCCAAGTGAGAGTGCTTTAAGTGCTTGTTCATTGAATGACAGCTGCAAAGGCCTCACTCTTTTATAACAATAGCTCATAATCTATGCCCAGCTTCTTCTGGCCATCACTGTCCCACTCAAAGATCATCAGCACATGCTATAAACTGCCTGAGGTAGGAACATCTGTGGATTAATAGGCTAGTTCCCTTAGCTCTGAAATGCAAAATACCACCTACTCTCACTCCTCAGCTGTCCCGGGGTCAGGAGTCAGGAAGATCTACGCCTCATATTTACCAGCTGTGTGACCATGAGCATGTCACTTAATTTTCCTGAGCCTCAGTTTCCCCATCTATGAAAAAGCATCAATAACTATAATTCCTGCCTCACAGTGTTGTCCTGAGGTTCAAACGTCAGCATCTTATGTCAAAAGCTCTACAGAGTTTAAAGCACTATAGAAACGTCAGTGAGTTGCTGCTGTTGGTATTCTCTAAACCAAAGGCACTCTTAATGTGGGGTCTGTTAACTTGTTTTTTAAAAATATTTTGATGACTGTATGGCAATCTAGTTGGTTCCTTTGCAGTCCTCTATGTCTCAAGCACTTTTTAGAAGGGATCCGCAGGCTTCACCAGATGCTGCTGGGCCTGTGACCCCAAAAGGCTCTGAGCCTTCGCCTGCCTTCTCACCCATCACTTGCCTTCTTGAAGAACTTACACAAAGTGTTGGATTTAGGGTCAGAGGACCTGAGTCTGAATCCCATCCTAGACAATGGTCCGTGTGCCCTTGGACAAGTCCCTTCCCTTCTCTGGTCCTGTTTTCTCCTCCCTAAAAATGTCACCTCATTTGGTCTCAGTTTCCTCCTTTGTAAAAAATGAGGCGGTCAGACTGGGTGGCCAGCATTGCCACCTTAAGGTCTCATAACTTGACCAGGTTTGAATTTGCTCAGAAAGGAAAAATGGGGGCTGCCCCTGATGACCTGGAGTGACACTGAGAGGGTAGGGGGACAAGATGGGGGGGCTGCCCCCAATGACCCGGAGTGACCCTGAGAGGGGAGGGGGCCGGGCTGGGGGCTGCCCCCCACGACCCCCCCTGCCCCTCGCTCACCGCCTGCTCATTCCTCATGCCGATGTACTTGATGCCCACGGCCTGCGCTGCCACGGCGATCTCGGTCACGGGGATGCCCACGATGCCAAACATGTACTCCACATTCTGACAGAAGAGGACAGGCGCTCAGCGGGGACCATGGCCGGGGCGCTGGACCCCCTCCTGGCTGGGCACCCTGGGCTTTAGTTTCCCCATCCGTAAAAGGAGGCCCCTCCGGCTCTAAGCCTAGGACTCCCACGCCCCCTTGTGACACCCCGGGTGACCCCCCCCCACAGGCTCGGCCCTCCGCACGTGGGTCACTCTCACCTGTTTCTTCAGCGCCCAGGCAATGACCTCAGCGCCGGACACCGTCTCTTGGTCCTCGCGGTTTCCCGCTGCCCGGTTCGAAGCCATCTTCCCTCAGGTGACGACTCAGCCGGGAAAGGCATCCTGCGCCTTTAAATCCTCCTCCGTTCGCCTCCGACCCTTCTCCACCAATGGCCAACACGCTTCTTTGTGACTGACACGAAGATCAACCAATCATTTTGGGAAGAGGCGGGGCCGGGGCTCCCCTGAACAGGATGTCAACAGGCCCTTTCTCCAGTCAGAGATCAGCTCTCCTAGAGGGCCGAAGTCCTCGGGGGCGGGACAGTGGGCGGGACAGGGGGGGCAGAGCTGAGAGCGAGGAGACACGGCTGACTTCTCCGTGCCACACAGGTAGGTAGGGGGAGGGGCGGTGGTTTTTGGCACGCGCGCGTCTCCGCGCGTCAGCCTCCGGAGCCTGGCGCTGCCTCGCTGCAGCAGCTGCCGTGCGTGGGTGGTGCGCGCGTGCCGGGGTCAGGGAGAGGAGCCTGGCGGCGTTCCCTGACCGTCAGACTCTCAGAGCCCCGGCTGGCTCCGCCCCTCTCCCCTCCTCCCGGCCCGCCCTGCCTGCCTGCCTGCCTATTGGTAAGTTCGCCAATGGGAGCCCGCCGTGCGGGACCGCCCACCTCCTCCCTCGGCGAGCGCCCCATGAGCTTAGCGCACCTCAGCCGCTAGGGGGCGTAGTCAATAAGGAGCAGGACCCAAGCGTGAAATCTGCACCTCTGTGAGCTGCAGATTCCTCCTTTGCAGGAAGTGGCTAATAACTGCGCCTGCCCCCGGGGTCGAACACAAAGCGCTTTGCAAACCTTACAGATATCTGTAAATAATGTATTGACAGCCGGCATTTATGTAGCATTTACTGTGTACCAGGCACTGCGCTCATTTATGAAGAAGCTGTGGTTCACCCAGTTATAATAACAGTAATAATAACAATAATAATGACAAAAGCTAGTATTTATGTACTACTTACTGTGTGCCACGTGCTGTGCTAATTTATGGAAAAACTTTTTCACCCAGTTTTTTGTGGAGTTTTTTTTGGCTAGGCAATGGGGTCAAATGACTTGCCCAGGGTCACACAGTTGGTGTCTGAGCTGGATTTGAACTCAGGTCCTCCTGACTCCAGGGCCGACACTCTATCCACTGCGCCACCTCACTGCCCCTTCACCCAGTTATTGTAGTAATAACACCAGCAACTAGCATTTATGTAGCACCTAAGTTTGCAAAGCACTTTCCCTAGTGATTTTTTGTGATCTCCATGACAACCCTGGGAGGTAGATTGCCCTCATAGCACCCTTTTTGTTGTTCTAGTTCAGTCACTCATCATTCATGGCCTGCTCTTGGTGACCCCATTTGGGGTTTTCTTGGCAGAGATACTGGAGCAGTTTGTGCCATTTCCTTCTCCAGCTCATTTGACAGATGAGGAAACTGAGGCAAACGGTAAAGTGACTTGCCCAGGGTCACACAGCTGGTATCTGGTCTGGATTTGAACTCAGATCTTCCTGACTCCAGTCCTGGTGCTGGCCGAGCACCTATTTTACTTGTGACAAAACCTATACTTATCCTTACTGCAAAACCATAGTCAGATCAATAAGCATTTATCAGGTGCTTACCATGTGCTCAGCACTGGGGTTTCAAAGAAAGGCAAAAGTCAGTCCCAGCTCTCATGGCGCTCCCAGTCTAGTGGAGAGACAATCTGCAGACAGCCCGGTGCAGACGAGCTGTGGGAGAGATAGACAGGAGAGAATCAGCAGAGGGAAGGCAGGCGCATTCAGGGGCCATTCGGGAGATGGGCTGGCTTCTCGTGCGGGGATCAGACCCAGGGATGCCCCCTGGAGGTCACAGAGTGGCTGGGAGAGGCATAAGGTGCAGGAAGGGGCCAGGCTCGGAGGGTTTTCCATTTTGTATAAATGACTGTCAAACCAACAAACTCTTATGAAACACTCATTTCACAGACGGGGAAGCGGATGCCCAGAGAGCATAAGTTACCCATGATCACACAGGTGGTGACTTGTAGTCATAATTCCGGTGGAAGTAGAAACACAGAGGCTGGAACATTCCTAGCCCAAGGCTTGGCGTCCCAGGGAATTGATTCTCAGCTGCTTGGGTGGGATCACCCAGCAGCAAGTTCATTAGAAGAACAGCTGGGCTGTATTTTTTTCCACGATCTCTGACCTTCAAACAGCCTTCAGCTCGTGGGGCAGAGTTCACTTTTTGGTTGGGCATTCCACTGACGATTCAGCAAAACTGTCCAGAGTCCTCTGGTTGGCGTGAGATAAGAGCAGCTGAGTGTCACTTATTTTATACGCTGGGTTTGATTTTTTCCTGGGTATCCCCAAGCACTTAGCACCCTCCCTGGCCCATAATAAGCCCTTAATAAATGGGTGTTTATTGATTCATCATTGTTATTGTGATATTACATCATTACAGGATCCTGAAGGAATATTTCCTAATCATTTAAGGATTTTGCAAAGAACATGACCACCATTTCTTAATTACTTCTTTTGGGGTTGGTTCTAGAGTGCTTTTATTTTCATTGTAACTTACGAAAGTCTGTTCCTCTCAGACTACAGCATTCATTCAGTTCATTCACCAGAATGTGGTAGGTAGGGCTGGCTTAGGGAATATCTGATGAGAATTTATTTGAATATAAGTTCCGTGCCTCCTCTCTGGAGAGAGTGCAGAGAAACCAGAAAAACCTTCTGGAGAGAAGAAACCATTTTGGGCTACTTGGTTGCAGGTCAGTCCTTCAGTTGTGTCCAACTCTTCGTGACCCAATGGACCATAGCACACCAGTACTGTCCATGGGCTTTTCTTGGCAAAGATACTGAAGTGGCTTGCCATTTCCTTCCCGGCTCATTTTACAGATGAGGAAACTGAGGCAAACAGGGTGAAGTGACTTGCCCAGGGTCACACAGCTAGTAAGTGTCTGAGGCCAGATCTGAACTCAGAAAAGATGAGTCTTCCTGACTCCAGGCCTGGGGCTCTGTGAACTGTGGCACCACCTAGCGGCCCTTAGTTTAGTTTTTTATAAGATTTCATCACTTCATTTAGAAGGTCAGAAGTCCATCAAGGGCCTCATCGCACTCGGATTGACACATGACCTTTGACTTACTCCATTTCCCATGTTTGCTCCTCGTTAGGTAACCTGGGACCATGGTATTAACGCTGAGCTTAGGGTGGATCCCCACTGCAGCTCAAGAGGTCTCCAGCCTTGGCCTCCCTGGGTGCACCCCCATGACCTGCCATTTTGGTAGTGACTGGCACACTAGGAATTCTTAGCTATTCAAAAAATAATAGTAACGAAATCTTTCCACCTCTTTAGAGAGCGTCTACACCTCCCTGTTCTTTGGAGAGCAGAGCTTTCAAGTGGCCTAGAAGACCTAAGGTGACTCGAGGGGCCACATGGCATTGGGGTGCGATGAGACAGACCTTGGTTTTTATATGGGTTCTTCCATTTATTTTCTGTGTGACTTTGGGTGAGGTCACAAAGCGAGCTGGTCGAGCTAGATAATCAAGACTATGGCAAACTGTCATTCTATAACTAATTTTTAAAACCAGTAGGATTATTGAGCCCACTCTTAATTCCAACATTGAAAACTACTGAAAAGCACCTTAAAAACCTTAAATGGTCACACCTGACATATATGGTGCTTCGTGGGAAAAGATCTTTAAACGATTAAAGAAAATTTCAGGGACTGAGGGGAGCACGAATTTTTGGTGTGAAATGTGTGTTGTGTAGGAGAACCTCAGACAGAAACAGGGGCTAGAACACAGTACATAAGGACCCCAGTGGGCAGCGCATTGACTTAGAAAACCACACCTGTCTCTGTAGTTCTCTTTTTGTTAATACATTAAAACCAGAAAGGAGCTAGTACATTTTAATCTGGTTTGGGAGCCTTGTGGGCCATGTGTGTGATGCCTTTGGTATAGTGGATAGCTGCTTAACTTGAAGTCAGCAAGACCTGAGTTCAACTGCTGTCTAATAATGATAATAATAACAACAACAACAACAATAATAATTAACATTTATGTAGCACCTACTGTGTGCCAGGCACTGGGCTAAGTACTTTACAATTATTATTTCTTTTGATCCTCACAACAACAACTGGGAGGGAGGTGCTATTATCATCCCCATTTTACAGATAAGAAAACTGAGGCAAACAGATGTTAAGTGATTTGTGCAGGGCCACAGAGCTATTCAGTGACTGTGGCAGGGTATAAATACTTTACCTTCCAGGCAGTATAAATACTTAGGTCTTCCTGACTCGGAGCCCAGCATTTTATCCATTGTACCACTCAGCTGCATCTCAGACGGATGTGCAACCACAAGTTTACATTCGCCTGGAAGGCTACAATAAGAAATACAAGATAATATTGCCCAAATCCCTCCCCTGTAACCTAGTTCTCCTACCTTGAGTTCCCTGCTGGACAGCTCTCTACAGTATGTCCCAATACCACCCCATGTTCTCCATGTCTGATGCCTACTACATTATCTAACCCCCTAAACTTGCCCTTCTCTGTACAGAAATACTGCCAACTTCGATGTTTCTGCTGATCCCAGTCTCCTGCTCTCAGAATCTCAGCCTCTTTATTCTTCCTGACTCTCTGGTTTCCAAAGCCTGTTGATTGTATCCCTACTTCTCTCCATTTACACCAACACCATCAGGCTTTTTTATCTCCATTCCGTTAGATTAACGTAATAATATCAAATTAAGTCAATTGATCAAATGAGACAATCTTTGTAAAGTGCTTAGTAGAGTGCCTGGCACACAGTAGGTGTTACGTAAATGTTAGCTGCTGCTGCTACTGCTACTCCTCCTCCTGCTGCTGCTGCTGCTGCTACTACTACTACTATAGGTCTCATACTTGACCTCCTTGTATCCAGGCTTTTCTCTCTTTAATTCATCCTTCAACTAGCTACCAAAATAATCTTCCTTCTGCATAAATCTGCCTAGCTCACTGCCCAGCTCAACAACCTTCTGTGACTTCCTGTTGCTTTAGGATAAAACACAGACTTCTCAGGAGGACACTTTGCCACCAAGTCTCAACTGACCTTTCCTCTCCCATTCTGGATTATTCCTCTTCACACACTTTACCTTCCAGGCAGTCTGGATTTTGGTTTCTAAGTCTTCACCTGCTTTATCTCTCTGTGTACTTGCATAGGCCAGAGAATATTAATTTGCTCCAAATGATTGCTTCCATTCTGATTAAAGTCTTTATACTGTATGCTCTTGTAAGTGACCTTACAGACATCAGATGAAAGGGAGGAACTAGGGGGGTACAGACCTAAGTTTTGGAGTCAGCTTAGATGATACAGACAACCCGGCATTAATAGTCAATGGGTAGAGGGAAAA